ATGTGTGTCAACGTATGGTGTTGTCACATTTCTAAATCGTACATATGTGTGTAAAGGTATGGTGTTACTATAGTTCTATATCGTATATATTTGTGTAAACGTTTTGTGTTAATATAATGTTGAATTGTATATACGTGTGAACGTATATTGATAATATAGTTCTAAAATGTATATGAGTGTAAACGTTTGGTGTTAATATAATTCTAAACTATACATGTATGTGCATATAGATGTGTGCACCCTTCCACAACGCTTTATGAAGTGTTTAGAAGACATCAGACCTGCAGTGTATACATGTCATCATCAATAGTATGATCTCCTGCGTGTAATTATATTACCTACCCCGCTCTCATGTCCTTGAATGAATACTGACGATCTACATTGTTCGCTGTAGGCTGTTGTCGGCGATGTACACTACAATGCAACAGACAAGCACACAGAGGCACCTCGGGATCAAACATCACCAGCTCACACCACGACAGGCCAACGTACGCACACAAGCAACCAATTGCCAAGCTCAGAAGATTCGATCATCGCGCGAAAGCACGCATCTTCAGCTACCATACAGTCACCCGAGCACAGCCAGCTAAGGCAACACGAAAGTGCTTTAGCACAACATGAAAGTGAAGTACAGCACCAGGAAAGCGCGTTAAAGCCGTTGTGTGCTAGCCCACATTTGAACAACACCGACGCTTATACGGGAGGAGAGTGTCTATATGCAACAGCGCAGGCAAAGGGCTGTGATGATATTCTGAGCACTCAGAGCCGCCGTCGAGAGTCTGCGAAGGTGTTTCCGCTATTTAACATGTGTAAAGCACGGAAACGGCTGAAGACAAGCAATAAGGAGAATAACAACAGGTAGGTTCTTATGCTAAGTAGTTTCTCTTAGTTAGTCTAGTGATGCTGGTATGATATATGTTACATGGGGTGATTCAGCTATACATGGAGATCAGGATACCTCCATGGGCTGTAAAAAGTGCGCAGAAGTGAAAGGATTTGTCACTGATGTCTCGGCTGCTGGAGAATGCAAGCCATTGCGTGTGCAATGTACACAATGTTCTTCACACACACTCACACACGCTCAATGTTGGAACACCGTCTGTTATAAGACAGCTGTGCACGAGAAATTTATCAAGGCATTGTATTCGACAATCCGCCTGTCTGATTGTTGGCCTCATAACTCTGTTTTTAACCTGAATACAATTCTATAGGTCAAGTGCGACCCAGCAACCAGAATGATCAAATATACACCCCATCAAGCAATTGTTTTCTCCCATATAACCGCACCCAAACCAATCGCTAATTGTCAAATTTATTTCCAGGCACAGTCCATGCTTTGGCCGATCAGACAATAACAAGCGACAGGTGAGTTCAAACCACGTGCCCACTTCAAAAACACTGTGCTCTGGGTCGAAACTGGTAGATAGGAAGGTATGTTCATTGTCTGCGTGTGTTTGTTTAGCATGTTGCCGTTTTCTTGGAAATATTTGAGAATTCTGTCCAGCATGGATCAAGCCCTTCCTCTAGTATTGTATTACGGGCTCGTGCTGGAGTATTTGAGTGTGTGCACTACTTGCGTTATCAAGCGCATGTATACTTAACAAAATCCGGTGGTACCTACCATGCACTGCCGCAGGTGCAAATGGTGATAGATCTCGGGCAGACATCATTGGGAGTTCTCGTATGCAAGGATTGTGGTATGACCTACAATGGGGGCGATAGTGAAGACGTTGCTGAACATCAGCGCTTCCATACTAAGTACTTCAAAGATGTCACGTTCGCGGTAAGTCCCTTAGTAGGCATACACGGCCGATGTTTACATGGTCTATAGGGTGCTGTCAAGATATCAATGGCTTGCTTAACAGGAATGAGGAGGAACTATGTAGAAGTTTGAAACGTGATTGTGAACTTGGATCTTCATAGGATGGAGTATGTTGCGTTGCCATCGACATTGGCGTTATCTCTTTGGTTATATTGTCAAGGTTACCGAACTTCTTACTAAGCATGAGGTTACAAAAATGCTAGTCGCATACGCTGCACTTTGAGCGTTAAGTTTTTACTCCGCTCTAAAGAGCTATGTATATCTCCAGCATTGGTTTTGAAAGCTAGAATAACAAAATCACTTACAGGGATGGAAGAACGAACGAAGGGTGGCAGAATCGTTGATACTTCCAGACGATGTAATTGGCAGAATAATCTGTATACACCAGTCCGACCAACCAACACATCTCAAGAAGGTGTGTGTATTTTCAAGACAATACATGTTTCTGGGAATTGAATTCATGTTTTCAAACGCTGGTGTAGGATTATCATATGATGACCTGTATGTATTTTTATTGTGTGTCAACTCATTACTGGATCATTCCTTGAAACAATCAACTAATTCCGCACTTAGGGTAGCACGTCATACCCATACTGCAGCCCTCGGTTTAGAACAGTAGGTGTCAAATGTTACTCATGCCTGACATATCTCCCCCACCATTCAAACACCCGCCTTACAGGCCCAGCAAGTGCAGGCCTTCGTAGACCTGAAGTTGGGGCTCGTGCAAATGGACACGGTACTTTCACAATCAGCGAAGACCTACCTGTGCATCGCCAATAGAAAGGTAATAGGCTGTGTAGTTGCGGAGAAGCTCGCACACGCCTATCGAGCCGTCGTACTACCAGGAACTTATATAGGTACAGCGAAAAAAGTAACGCCAGCGACAAAAAAATCACCATTCACGGTGAAGACACATGTGCCAAAAAAGCCATCAGAAGCCAAACAACAACCTGGAACGAAGGTAAACACACCGGCTGGGCATGCAGAGCGTGACAATAGTGAACCACCGACCCCGGTAAGGTTCAAAACACGCGGACACAGAGCGAGAGACGCACAAGATGGTACTGACCATGCCTCCTATAGCAGAGGAAAATTCGAACACAATGACAAGAAAAGCTCAATAGCACAATCACAGCAGAGCCCTGATAAACAACCGCACGTAGAGGAAGGCCAGCAATGCAATACACCTCGAGATACGGGGACGCACTCAGTCAAACCTTTGAAGCAAAGACCCTATAGTCATGCATCTTCATATCAACAGCGCACGCGTGTGCCCGCGCATATCGGAATAAGCAGAGTATGGGTAGCAGAGAAGTACAGACGCAAAGGTGTGATCAAAGCCCTTATCACCGCCACGAGAAATAGCTTTACGTACAACGATGTGGTGCCTATGGAGGCGGTAGCGTTCTCACAGGGCACCGTCGACGGAGACCATTGGACGGAGGCGTGCGTCGAGACGAAGGGATACTTGACGTACGAATAGTCTGGATTTTCAAATGTCCATGTGTAATCTTTCAAGCACATTAAAATGGAAAACTCGCATCAATGCCAGTAATTGGCGAGCCGAATGACTTTATTCATGGAAATGTCGGATGGGTTCATTGCGGAACGTTGCGGATTGTCTTATTAGACAACTTGCGTTTGATTTGCATACATTATGTATTAGATAGTGACGTTCCTCTGTATGCAGTAGCCGCCAGCCATCCACATTACATTGAGAGTCACGCCATAATTTCTATGCGTACACGTTAAAGCCACATGCCGAATGTGCTAGAACAATGCGTTTTGTATTCGTACAATACAACACGGATGCCTCAGAAAACGCCAAAGCCCTGCACTTGTATACAGTCAAGAGTGAAGACTGTAAATTTTTTATATTGTTTTCTTTATAAAAAAGGGTGGACAATCTGGTCTGCTGGTCGGGACATCATCATGAAGGTGTTTTATGCAGCGAACTACCCGGAGTAAAGTACCGTAAAGCACTTTGACTGCAATTTTAATTTTAACAGAAACGATATATGATTCGCTGAATAAGGTTTCTATCCTGTGTATTTATAGACCACGGGCATTTGATTCAACAATCATCTCCAAGTTATGATACCTATGCATTCAAAAATGTAGAAATCGACCATTGATATTGAATTCCAACTTTCCGATTTTAGGGGGCCTTTGCTATGAGCCAGTTTCAGGGTTCAGCTATCCGGGCCCACCAACCGGGTTCAGCAGATTCTGAGTAGAGAGACTCACGAATCCCGAGCGACTCAATTTCAGAAAACTCGGTCATCTCTCTCAGTGACTCAGTTTCAGTCTGAGTTTGTGTCTTTTTTAACAAGAAATATAACATCAACCAATATTCAGTGACATTTATTTTATTATGTGCATATATAGGAAACAAAGGGAAATTCCCCCTACAATACATCATCTAACAGTTTATGACAAATAGAGAGAAATAAAAATATGTCGCAAAAGTAGATTCGAGTTTTCTATATCAGAAGTTGTGTTCAACCTTAACGTGAGATTCACAAAGTATATTTGACACACTTTGTTCGCGTATCAAATTCGAGTTCGACTGTCGTAAATTTCATCTATTTACAAAAATGAAATTTATTTGTATGTGTACATACTGTATTGATTTCTAGAAAAAACAGATGTGTGCAACTTTTCAGTTTTCTTGAAATTACGGCAAGGCTAATAATGTCGGCAATATTTAGTCCCAAATCACAGTGAGGGTGATCAGGCCCATCAAGACATACTCTCTCCGCTACAACAGTCTATTTTTACAGTCTACGCTATTATTTTACCCTACTAGAGTTCCTGCAACATAAATATACCAAGTGCCCTGGATTGCAAGTTGGACTTAATCACATAGGCTCACATACAACGCACAGTGTGCTCCGCTATGGGTGTTTGTAACCAAATCAAGGTAGTCTGCTTAGGGGTTGCCATCTGTTCCAGTTTTGTTAGTGGAGCACCCCGTTTACACGATGTCAAAGACGAGGCGCTCACAAGGCATGTTTCCAAATATCATCCGATCTCATTCGAGGGTCTGCACGAACAAATAAATATACATGAGCGCCAAAGAAGAGATCTTGGATATGGCAGTGAACAACCCATCCTGTTCGAGATAAATGTGTTTGGACGCTTATTAGAGGTGGAAGTGGCGAAGACCGGGGTTCATACTTTTGGGGAAAGTTATTCGTATGGTCCTGGCGGCAAGAAGCTTATTGACACATCAGATATACCAGTTATGACTGGACGGGTGGTAGGGGTTGAAGATAGCAAAGTAGAGGGTAGGATATTTGATGGTATATTCGAGGGTATGATACACACTCCGCAGGAGACCTACCACGTGGAGAAGGCCGCAAAGTTTCTTAAGGTGGGTGTATCAATGTCCTTCGTTTAGTAGAATATCTACGCGTTTGTATACAGTAACTTTGTCGTGACTTATTGAATTCGAAGTATTTGAGAGTGAGTGGTAAGTCACGAATTATATATATATATATATATATATATATATATATCATGCACACACGCTACTTACACACACACACACACCCACCACACACACACACACACACACAC